CAGGCCCTTTACACCAAACTGAATCCTAAATAGAACCTGATCCTTGCCCAGTGAACTAGGGGCTCCTTGGGGCCTGGGCAGTGCCCATCAAGCTCTCTGTGGTACCTCAGGGCCTGGCATGGAGCAGGCACTCAGTGAACATTGATGTAACAAATGTATGGATGAAAAAAATCAGTGGATGCAAAGCTTAGTGGAAGGATCATGGGTCTAGAGCTAGAGACCTGGGTTCAAATCCTAACTGTGCCACGCATGACCTTGACCACTAACAAGGACTACTACCCTTTATTAAGTACCACCTGTATGCTTTTCCAACCTTAGAGATCCAAGGACTCTCATGAAAGCACTGTGAACCCCTTTTCCTGATGAGGAAACTGAGGCACAGAGAAGGCAAGTTACTGGCCTTGAGTTATCCAGAAATAGATTTAGAACCCAATGTCCATCACTCCTGCAGGGGCCTCAGTTTTCTCCTCTGCCCAGCAGGATAAGCCCTACCCATGGCCCTGACATGGCTGTCCCTCACAGGTGGCCTGAGTGTGGGTGACTTCCGGAAGGTGCTGATGAAGACGGGGCTGGTGCTGGTGGTGCTGGGCCACGTGAGCTTCATCGCAGCTGCTCTCCTCCATGGCACGGTGCTGCGCTATGTGGCAGCCCCCAACGATGCTGTGGCTCTGCAGTACTGTGTGGTCAACATCCTCTCTGTCACTTCTGCCATCGTGGTATGGCCAGGCTGGGAGGGTGGCTGGCAGGAGGGGGCTGGAGGGGGCTGGAAGGGTCTTCGATGAGTCCCCACCCACAGCCTGGGGTGGGCAGGCAGAGAGCCCCAAGTACTAACCCCTGTTCTGCCACTTACCAACGGCACCAGTCACCCAACCTCTCTTTGCCTCAGCTTCCTCATCTATAAAATGGGGACGGTAACAGTGTCCAACTGAGAAGATCCTGGTGAGTACTGAGTGAGATCATCCACATAAAGTGCTGAGCACAGCGCCCAGCACGTGGCTAACTCACTACTGTGAGCTTGGATTATCATTACAATGGGGAAATAGTCGAGGCACTGTCGGCCAGAAGGAAGGATCATCAGCTCAGCTTGGGAGGGTTCACAGAGGTGGAGGCCCCAGAGGTGGGTATTGATGGATGAATAGGAGTTCAAAGATAGGCTGCAATTACCATAACCTGGGTATGAAGCCTGCTGGGGCCAGCTGGTAGGAGAGGAAGCTGGGATGCTTTCAAGTACGGAGAATGGCAAATGCAAAGGTATGGAGGTGGGAATGGATAAAGTCTGCTCTGGAGACACTGAAAAAACCAATTTGGGGGCTTCCCTGGTGGCGCAGTGGTTGAGAGTCCGCCTGCCGATGCAGGGGACATGGGTTCGTGCCCCGGTCTGGGAAGATCCCACATGCCACGGAGTGGCTGCGCCTGTGAGCCGTGGCCGCTGAGCCTCCGCGTCCAGAGCCTGTGCTCCGCAGTGGGAGAGGCCACAACAGTGAGAGGCCCGCGTACCAAAAAAAAAAAAAAACAATTTGGCAGGAGTTTAGCATTAGGCCCGGACTATAAGTGCTCAATAAATGGTAGACATGGTTATGGCTGGATGTCAGTACCTGTTTGATGAATACATGAATGAAGGGGCCTGGTATTCTCAAGTTCGTAAAGCCCTTTCCCAACTGTCAGAAGAGGTGGCTACAGCCTTTGGGGAACATCTGCACATCAGTGTCTGAGTTCCATCCCTGCCACCTCCTGGCTGAGGGATTTCTTTCTCTCTCTAAGCCTGTTCCCTCCCCTGCAAAATGAAGCTCAGACAGCCTGCTGGCCCTAAAGCAAGGATCACGGGCCCCGGCAAGTAGGAGAGCCTCAGTCAGTGGGACAGAGCTAGGCTGTACAGATATGTGCAGTGTCCCTTGGGGTTACTATTATTGTTGTTTATTCGTCTCACCAACCTTGTGAGGAAGGCAGGCAAGGCAGTGAGCTCGGGGTTAGGAGGTCCACCACGGATGGGCTCTGGGCTGGACCACTTCAGCTGTGCTCTTATTTCCTCAGTTAATCCCCACAGCTCCCTGCAACACGGGACCATGATTTTCCCCACTTTACAGAGGGGGAAACTGACTCAGGGATTCACCCAACCTCTTGCTGATACAAAGAAGCCAACCTGGATGTGAAACAATCTGTGGCTGACACCAAAGCCAGTGTCCTTTCCCTGAGCTCATTCCTGCTGAGCGGGCTTAGCCCAGAGAGTTTGAGGCACTTAACTAGTGGCTGCACAGTGAATTACAGACATTGCTGGGCCCTCTATCATCTCACCTGCCTCCCGCGGGTCCAGCCCGTGCCTGGTAAAGTGAGGGAACTGAAGGAGGGAGCCCACCTGAGTGGAACCCAGAAGATCCAGAGGGCAGCTGGTGGGCTTAACAGTGAGGTGGGCCCACCTCTTGGGGCTGGGGGTGGTTGGGGGGCCTGCAGGAGGGAGAACCCACGCAGGTAAAGAGGAACAGGAAAGGCCTTCCTGAGAAGGCGCTGTGTAGGCGGCATCAAGCCCAGGCTCTGTGTGGGTGTCCATATCCAGGGCGATGAGGAAAGAGCCTGGCCCAGGGTGGAGTTGAGAAACTGATGGGATAGGGGCCAGGTCACTGAGAGCCTGCAATAGTTAAAAATACTCCTAGGGATTTTGAATTCTACTCCATCAAGTATCCTGGTTTATTTTAAAGTAACAATTTTGTTTTTAGTTCCTTGCCAGTTGAGTTACTGAGTTTCTTCCAAAATCTTTTCCACTCCAGGGAAACATGTCATATATATCCTGTGACATGGCTCTGTGGCCCTGGGATACACAGGTCCCTGCTTGAGAAATGCAGCTGTAGGCAGTGGGGAGTCATGGAAGGTTGTAGGCAGGGAGTGACTGTGTTTTAGAAACGTCACTTCAGGGCTGGACCATGAAGAGGCAGTGTCCCCATGCAGATGGAGGTAATGAAACCAAAGCTAAGCAGGGGGTGTGGGTTTGGAGGGCTAGAGTTGGTGTTGGTGGAATCTTTGCTGGAGAGTGGCCCTGAGCCCCTGCCCACTCTCCTCCAGTAGGGGGTCAGAGCTGACTTGAGCCTCCTCCACAGGTCATCACCTCAGGCATTGCAGTCATCGTGTTATCACGCTACCTCCCCAGCATCCCTCTGGTATGTGGTACCTCCTGGGATGGGGCTGTGCGGATAGGGGCAGCAGCCACCCCCAAAGGCCTGGCCTGCTTGGAGGGGGTGAGGCTGACCCCATGGGGGCCAGAGCTGCCCATGGGGCCGAGGCTGATGTCCACTGACCAGTGGCCTCCTCCATCCAGCGCTGGACGGTGTTTAGCTCGAGTGTGGCCTGTGCCCTTCTCTCTCTGACCTGTGCTCTCGGCCTCTTGGCCTCGATTGCTGTGACCTTTGCCACCCAGGGCCAGGCACTGCTGGCCGCCTGTACTTTTGGGGACCCCGAACTACTGGCACTGGCGCCCGACTGTCCCTTCGACCCCACTCGCATTTACGTAAGTGCTTAGGCCTGGGATGGGGTGGGAGGGCAGCAAGGTGCTCATCAGAGGTGGGAAGGGTTCTTGGAGTCCTGCCCTCCACTCCCCAACCCCAGGCAGCCATCACTGCCCCCTGTCCCCCTACAGAGCTCCAGCCTGTGTCTCTGGGGCATCTCGTTACTGTTCTGCATGGCAGAGAGTGTGTTTGCTGTCCGCAGTGCCCAGATCACCTACCAGTTGCTGGAACTGAGGCCCTGGTTGGGGAAAAGCAGCCATCACATGGTAAGGCCTGCCATTCCCCCAAGCCCTGACTCTTCATACTTCCTGGGAGCCCCTGCTGGGGAGCTCAGGCTGATCTGTCCCCACCCCTCTGTAAAGGGCCCCCACCTTGAAACCTGGGGCAATAGTGTTCTCCCCAGGACCAAAAGGAGAGACTTGGAGGCTCAGAGAACTCAGATCTCCCAGCTAAGTCATACAGCTGACACTTGGCTCTCCCAAGGCCCAGGATGAGTCTTGGGGAGGGGGAGAGGTATCTGGGCTGGAATTGGGGGCACTCCAAGGGTATGGCCTGACTCTTGCTTAGTGGAGAGTAATGATGTCCCTTCACCCAAAGATCACCCTAGCCCCCCACTCCTCCCACTTTCTGGATGTCCTGAAGGAGAAGACCCAGACCCAGTGGGCCTGGCAGCCTCTGACATCTCCACAGATGCGGGAGAGCCCAGAGCCTGTGGAGGACCACGACCTGCAGAGCTGCACTAGCTCTGGGCTGATGAACCTTTGACAGCTGTTGCCTCACCCAAGCCCTGTGGCCACTGGGGCCCTCCAGCCAAGTCTGCACTGTGATCAGGCCAGGATTCCTGGAGCCAGCCAAGAGGGCTCAATGCCACTCCAGGACCCGGGTGGGTCTTTCACCCCTCTCCTCCAGCCACCCAGCCCACTGCACTGAAACGAGACTTTATTCTGAAGATATTAAAAAGAACAGAGATGCTCCACGTGGATGCATGCAGCGGGGGAGGGGACTCGGCCGGGGGCCTGTGCTGCTTTCCCACACAGGACACTGTGGGTGGCGCTCTAGGTGTGTCTGCCCATCTGTCTGTGGGCCTGTGTGTGTATCTGAGAGAGACAAGACACACAGAGGGGTCCGTGGGTCTGTGTTCATCAAAATGCTGAAACGCAGGCGGGGGTTCATGGGACTCACAGCTGCGGGGCTGGAAGCAGGAGGTTTTCCTTTTGCATCATGGCCTCTGGGCCAACAAGGGCAGGAACAGGCAAGGTTGAGGCCCTCCTGCAGGGAAGGATGGCTCAAGGAAGGTTTCTCCTCAAGCCCCCAAACCTCTGGAATCCTTCTCTCCGCTCCAAATAAAAAGACAGGCATGATTCCCAACTCCACCAAGGCTGAGATCTACAAGGGTTGGGGTGGAGGCAGGGAAGCTTGCCCCGTGGTTGGCGGAGGGAAGTCTGGCCTCGTGGCTGGGTGTGTGCGGGGGTGGGGGAGGGGGAATGGCTGACGTTCTGATAGCTAGGTAAGGGAGGGCTGACTGAGAGGCAGACCAAGCCAGAGCCTGTGTCTTTATCATTGCCGAAGGGAGATATTGCCTCCCGGATGGGGGGGTGCTAACGACTTGCTGGCTTGGGCCTTGGGGAGGGGCTGCAGGGTTCCTTTCTCCATAGGGCCCTCAGAGTGCAGACCCTGGGGGTGGCAATCTGACCCCCAGCCTGGACAGACACAAGGGCGAGGAAGCTTAGAGCTGGGAGAGGGCCAGTGAAGGCAGGGAGGGGAAACCTGGCTCCTCGCTCAGAACTGGGAGGCGCTGCTGGGGTCGCACTGCAGCAGACGCACGATGGACGGGTCGCTTTTGGCCCCGCGGATGAACTCCTCCAAGGACAGCTTGCCTGCGGGGTGAGGGGAACAGTGACGGAGGAGAAGACAGCAGCAAAGCGAGGGGGCTGCAGAACCGAGCCGCGAGAGAGAGAGGGGGAGTAGCTCCCGCCCCGCCCCGCCCCGCCCCTGCCTCCTCACCGTCGTTGTTTGTGTCCATTTGGCGGAAGATCTTCTCAGTCCTCTTTTCCGGGGTCGACTCGTCCTCCGGCATCTTCATCACGGACGAAACCATCTTGTAAATGGCCTGGGGGGCGGGTGGGGAGGAAGTGAGGGGGAGCCTGCCTGATCCCTCCACCCCCAACTTTCCAAAAACGCCCCCAGGTGCGCTGACGATCGCCGCTCCCGCCAAGGTGAGGCGGAGAGGGGGTGACGGAGGAATGGGGGAACTGGGAAGTTCTGAGACTGAGAAGGTTTCCAGAAGAGGGGGCTATTGGAGAGTGCCCTGAACAAGTTCCCTTGGAGCGCTCGGTGGGAAAGGAATTGCAGGCAGAAGGATCTGCATGTACAAAGGCCCCAGAGCGGGCAGCCCTGAGTGGACGCCGAGAACTTAGGGATGGCTGAATGCAGGGGGTCAGAAGAGATGTTGGAGGACATCGGGGCCCAGATGGAGAAGGGCCTGAAACGCCCGGCCAAGGAGCTTGTGCCGGACGCCCCAGGTTCCCAGTTAAGTCCCAGGTTGAAAGAGCTGCTTCTCAGAAACTTCGGGGCTCCGGGCGGCCCGCCCTCGATGGCCGACAGGGGGCGCTGGGCGAAGGGGATGACACTGGGCTGCGATGCTACTGTGGCCGGCAGGGGGGCGTAGAGCTGCCCTGAGAGCGGGAGGGACGGAGGCAGCTGGGTCCACAGGGGGCGGGGGATATTATGCAAATAAACACACGTGAGTACCTGCCCGGGGCGGGGACAGCCTCGGCTGTGCTGGGCCGAGGACGGCTGCTGCCAGATGCAGGAGCTTCGGAGGCGACTCGAAGGAGGGTTTTTGCGCTAAGCGTACACAGAGCACAAAGGACTTGGCCTGTGGGCTGGGTTCCGGCGCCCCGGAGCTCAAGGACCAGACCCGTCGCCTCAGTCTGCCAGCTTTTTGCTACCGACACCTCCTCCAAGAAGCCTTCCTTCTCCCATCCCATAAACTTCCCTAGCCTCAGATCCGGCTTTGGCCTCCGCAGTGGTCTCTTCCGGCCTCTCTAGGGTCTGTCCCCAACGCTGCCTCTGAGACCTCTTTACAAACAGATCTCCACCGCCATGTCCCCAGCCCAGGGGCCGCCCCCTCGTTCCCAACATACACAGGCCTCCCTCCGGGCCTGCCGTGCACCCAGCTCCTTCTGGATGCTGCCCCACGCTCCTTCTGCTGCCTCCCACTCCTCCTTGGTGCTCAGCTTACATGGCGCATTCTTAGGGAGACCTTCTCTGATCCAGGCTGGGTCAGGGCCCATATGCTGCCCCAGAGCCTCCTTTGGGGACAACTCTCCGGAAGTAATTATGCATTTGTAGGATTGCTCCTCGGCCCCAGCATACAGATAAGGACCATGGACATCTAGCTAGTGCCCAGATCCACAGAATTTAGCACAGTGCCTGGAATCTGACTCCCCTGTTTAAAAGCCACTGGCACCTCCCACTGCCCTCTGTTATCAAGTCCAAACATTTGGCCCTTGGCATTCAAGGCATTTCACACTCTGGTCCCTGCTGACCTCTCCACCATCAGGCCTCCCCTAGTAGGTGATTCTGCCATAACCAAATACCCCTGTGCCTTTCAGGTCTCCCAGCGTTTACAGCCTCTGCCTGGAACAATAATACTAACTACCATTTACAGACACCCACTATGTGCAAGGTCCTTTACATACATTATTCTCACCCTTGCAATAGCCCTGAAAAGCAGGTACTGAGATCCCCATTTTCCAGATAATAAATTGAGGCTCAGAAAGGAAATTGATGGCAGACACCAGATTAGAAATTGCTCCCTCTTAGCCACTGGATAGATGCTTGTGGAGTGCTAATGACCCCTCAAAGCAGGGTATATGAAGTAAGGTGGCCTGGTTCCACTAATCACTTGTTCTGTAGCCTTGGACAAGTACTTAACCTCAGTTTCCTCATCTGTAAAATGGGGGTAATCATATCTCCCTCATTTGGACTGTCTAGAGTATTAAATGAGATACTGTGTATAGCTGGCTAGAGTAAGTGGTCAGTAAACATAATCATAGTATAACCATTACTCAACCACCACAGCCTCAGGTCTTCCCTGCCCTTCAATCCCCTGGACTCCCAGATGTCACCTTTACACCCCTGTCACCGAGCTGGTCAGTGTGGCCTGCACAATTGTCTCTCCCAGCAGAGTGGGAGCTCCAAGAGGCTGAGGTGAGGTCTCTTCCCTTCCAGTGTGCCCACCACCTGGCACAGGGCTCCATCCTGAGAAGGACTGAGCAAGTGACTTAGAGAGTGACTGCTCCCCTGTGACAGCCCTTCTCCTGGGCCTCCTAATTAATTGTCTGGAATTACTGCTCACTCATTGTTTCAGTGGAGCCGACTTGTAATTAATCGGTCACTAGGGTTTGCAGAGTTCTGTCTGCACCGGTCGTTTGGAGCCTCTGGGTTGCTGTAAAGGAACCCAGGGCTTAGATAGCAGAGGCCAGCCAGGAAGGGGTCCCAAGGATGCCCAAAGAATGGTACTGGCTTGACCAATGCCCTGGGTTTGGAGCTTCCAGCAAGGCTGACATTTACCAGTATACACCAGGCAACCACACTTAAGTGGTAAACATGAACATCCATACAGATTAGTTGGTATCCAGCTGCTGCCTAATCCCTGAGTGATCTTCCACCACCCTGGCTACCCCATCCCTTCCACCAGGACCCCCAGAATCCCCCACTATCCATCAACTAGAGAGTTAAGGCCTGGCCCATGGGAGTCATTGATAATCATTAAGTCTTTTCCCTAGTGATAGACATAGGGAGAGCACCACATCCTAAGGCAGCCCATTCTACTCTAGCTGGAGAGAGCAGACCCAGAAGCCAAAGTCAAGAGTCCACTAGTGGCTGGATGAGTTGGGAGGGGGAGCAGACAGCAGAGCTGAGGGACCAGAAGGGAAAGAATTCAGAGAGGCAGAAGGAAAGGGAGGAAGAGCCTGTACAAAGTGGCACATTCTGAGGATGTTGAAAAGGCCATTCTTGCTGGAGCAGAGAATGTGCAGAGGAGAAAATAATAACTGACAATCACTAATGTTTAATGAGTGCCGGTTATATGCCAGGCCAACTACTAGAGTCTTTATCCTGCTTTATACCCACAATAGCCTTGGAAGAAGAAGGGGTTAACACCCTCACTTTATAGGTGAAGAAACAAAGGCTTAGGAAAAAAGTGAACAAGGAACTGGTAGGTAAAATAGGACCAGATCCCTGATGGACCTCAATGCTGCTGAGGGGATGGGCACTCTGGAAGGTTTTTGAGATAAAGCCAACGTACTATGCTTAAATTTGTTCTAAGAAAGGACATTCCTATCAGGTCCTTAAGTCCCCCTATGAGATCAGCCTCACCATCCCTGTTTTACAGATGAGCAACCGAGGAGTTGAAGCCAACTCCAGAACTGGAAGTCAGACCCCTTTTAAGAGACAGCTCTGAGTGTTGACCAAGTTGAACCTGACTCCACTTAGATGCTGTGTGACCTTGGGCAAGCCACTTCACCTCTCTGAGCCTTATGGGGTTGTTGTAAGGATGCACTGAGCTCATGGGTATAAGCATCTCACAGTACTAGGCTCTTAGTGGACTCTCAATCAATTAGTTGGAAGGTGGCTGGGTATCCAGATGGAATGTGGGTGACAGAGCCAGGTGGCCCATTCACAGGCTGTGTGGTGTCGGGCAAGTGTCTTTACCTCTCTGAGCATCCGTTTCCTCATGAGTAAATGAGGATCAGTGAAACATAACTGGCCTGTACTCTGCAGAAATGTCAAGTCTTGAAAGACAAAGAAAGGCTGAGGAACTGTTACAGATTAAAGTGGCCTAAAGAGATAGGATGACTAAATGCAATGTGTGATCCTAGACCAGAGCAAAAAATGCTATAAAGAACATTATTGAGACAGTTGGCAGAACTCAATATGGTCTGTAAGTTAGATAATAGTATTGTTTCTATGTTAAATGTCCTGACTTTGATAATCCGGGGCGGGTTATGTAAGAGAATGTCCTTGTTCTTAGGAAATCTGTCCTGATGTATTCAGGGGTAGAGGGTCATGTTCAGAACAACAAAACATTACACACACACACACACACATGATGATAAAGCAAATGTGGTAAAATGTTCATTGGTGAAGATGGGTAAAGGGTATGTGGAAGTTTTCTCAACTTTAAATTGGAAATTACTTCCTATTAAAGACTTCTTTAAATGGGTCGTAAGAATAGCACCTGCCACTGCCTACCCACAAGGGCTGTTGAGAGGGTAAAGAGGGCTAGCAGGTACAAGCTGCTGGGCCCTGTGCCTGCCATTCTGAGGGGCCCAGGGGCCCACCTGCACGATCTCCAGCATCTCCTCACGGCTGATATAGCCGTTGCCATCCAGGTCGTACATGCTGAAGGCCCACATGAGCTTCTGCTCCAGGCGGCCACGTGAGGTCACACTCAGCGCGATGATGAACTCCCGGAAGTCGATGGTGCCATCGCTGTTGGTGTCAAAGGTGCGGAAGACATGCTCCGCGAACTTGGAGGCGTCACCGTAGGGGAAGAAGTTGGCGTAGATCTTCTTGAACTCATCCACGTTGAGGATGCCCGTGGGGCAGTCCTTGAGGAAGCCCTTGTACCACTCCTGCAGCTCCAGCTCTGAGAACTCTGTATTCTCCCGCAGGTCCTGCAGCATCTCGGGCCGCAGCTTGCTGTTCTGCTTGCCCATGGCCACCGAGCCAAGTCCCACCTGGGTCCCCGAGGGGGTCAAGGGACAAAGAGGAGTGGTCAGGCCCTCCTGGCCCCTTGACAACACTCCAGACACCGGCCACTCCAGCCTCTCTTTTGACCCAGTGAGAGAGAGGAGCTGGCCCAAGATCACACAGCTTACATATACCCAGGCACCCTGCCACTGTGTCAGCTCCACACCATTTCCCCAGACCTTCTACTTCCCCAGGGAACAGACCTGGAGACAGAGGAAGAGAAGGGGGCTCACCTTTACTGAGGCCCTTCTCAGTGCCAGCCACTGAGTCTTCCCAGGGTATACCATTTCACCCTCACAAAGTGAAGCCTGAGAATTAGCCCATTTTACAGATGAAAAGGTAGGCTCAAGGAAGTGAGGTGACCTGCTTCAGGTCACATAGCCATGAAGTGACAGGGCTAACTCCCAGAGTTGCCAAGGGAAGTGCAGAAAGGCCCTCTGGTCTTCCTCCCTCCTATCCCCTGCCCCCTTACTGCCTCACATACACCTGCTCACACAAAATACACCTGCAATCCAAACACTGACCTGTTCTCCCTCCCACCATGTGTGCTTGACAAGAGGCAGAATAAGGTAGGTGTTAGCCTGGGCTCCAGAGCCAGATCACATGGGTTTGAATCCCAGCTCTGCTTCTTACCAGCTATGTGACCTTGGGCAAGTTCCTTAAACTCTCTCTGCCTCATCTGTAAGGTGGGGGTAATAGTGCCTACCTCATTATTGTTGTGAGGATTAAATTAGTTAATACATATGAAGCACTTAGAAAGATGCCTGCACATATAAGTGCTACCTAAGTGTTAAATAAATTTAAAAGATTTACATGTGTCCAGATGCCAACAGTAAACAAATGAATACATACTGACACATGTTACGCTACACAGCTCACCAAATCCACACATGGATCCCATGCCACTCACATACCAGCACACACCCACCCAGGGTCACCGTGCCTCCACACACGACAACATTCCCTCTGTTCCACAACTCACATGTACTGACACAGCACCATGCACGCACAACTCCCATACCCTGTGCATCGAGACACACCAGCCCACAACCCCACATGTCTCACACATGCCATCACAAGCCAGCTCCCATGCCTACACCTCTCACATGGCCAGCTGCACGTGGGACCCTCAGACACCTTTGCCATCTTTCTTTCTTTACCCAGGGGTGCTGCCAGGTGCCAGGAGAGGGAGCTGCAGCCCTTCTCAGGCTTATGACAGCCCCCTCTTCCAGAGAGACCCCTAGCCAGTCAACCCTCCCCCAACACTTACCTTTCATCTAGTTCAGAAAGGTCCCCTCAGTGCAGGAGGTTAGACTGTGGAGGGCTGAGGGGAAGGTATTGGAAAGGAGACAGCCAGGCGGTTCTGGACAGGGATGTAGGGATGTGTGTAGGTGAATCTCCCCCCAGCCGTGAGACAGAGCGAGGGGGTTATTCCTTGTGTGTGCTTGTGCACATGTGGGTGAGCGTAAGTGCATGTGCTCATGTATGCATGTGTGTGTCCCTGGCTTCTGCCTTGCATTTGTCTCCCCATGTATTTCAATTTATATCTGTGCATGTGCATATATGTGCGTGTGACTAGGTATGCACCCATTACAGTGTGAGGGGCATGTACCTGTGTGGCCATTTGGGGGACCTGTGTGTGTCCTCAGCAGTGTGTCACATGCATGTTTCTGTAAGTTGGTTCCCTTCCTTTCTAAATCAACCTTTTTTGCCCCAGGCTGAGGATCCACTGAACAAGTGTGTGGGAGGGCACTGAGGAAATGCCTGGAGCCGGGGTGGCCGAATGTGTCCCTTAGTCCCCTCCTCAAGGTCCAAGGAACTGGGTCATCTGGGCGGAGGCAGAGAGACGCGCTGGGCAGGAGAGATCTTCTAGTGCCCCCTCCCCCCTGCCACCCTCTGAGTCCGTCCCCCTGCCCCCAGTTGGAAGAACTGGAAACGAGGGCGGTAATAGATTCTGCTGTCTCCGCAAAGACCACGTCCCCAAAATGGGAAGGACCTAAGCTCGGTCTGAGAAACCCGCCTCGGACACCCTCTCCAGTCCTCTCCCCAGATCTCGCCCTGGCCCCCGCCTCAACCCTTTCAGCACACGGGGAGAGCCAAGCGCGTGGCCCTTCCTGGAGGGGGCGTCCGGAGGCGGCCGGAACGCGACTCCCCAGGCTGGCCACTCGGCGGTCAGGACCCTGGAGAGCGCCAGGCGTTTCCCGGCGGGAGCCCCACTCCCTGAGTCCCCGGAGGGAAAATTCCTGGGAGGCCCAGGAGCGGCGGGGCTGAGGAGCCCTGGACGTGGCCCCCTACCTCCGGGATGCCCCTTCCTCGCACCCCCTAGCCCCGGCCGAGCAGCCCCCACTCACCCAGCGACGCGGAGACACCGACTGCGCAGGGAAGGCGGCGCTGCTGCAGCGCGCGGCGGCAGAGGCGGCCGGAGGGGCGGGCGGGGGGCGGGGGGCGGGACAGCGAGGGAGACGCCCCGCAGCGTTAGCCCGGTGCCCCTCCTCTGGGGGGGTCCCCGTTCCTCCCTCTGCCCTAGAGCCCTGATAGTGCATGGAGCAAAGGGTTAGGCTCCGCCCCCGTCCCTGCCCGGGAGAGGGAAGGGGACGCCCTCACCTCTCCGACCCCCCTCCCGAGGGAGCACCCCGCCGGGAGAGGAAGGCAGAGGTCCGCATCTCCTCAACCTCTCGACTCAGGTAGCCCGAATACGGTGGACGGTGGGGGTAGTCAGTGCCCAGACACCTCTTTCCTAAGCCGGGGACAACCCCCGACAGCTCCACCCGCCTGCCTCCCCCATCCCTACCTGGGCTTGGAGCCGCAAGTCACAACGAGGGCGGAAATCGGATCCTGGGCGCCTCGATATGTACCCTCCCTGCACCTGCGCCTCAACTCCGGAACTAACTGAGCTCTTCAGAGAGGGGGCAGCGCCCACTCCTCCAGTCCCTGAGGTCTTGGGGGGCAGACACGCCCCCTACCCCGCCTCTGCCTTAGAGAGCCCCACCCCCTTTTCCCGTCCGCCACACCGGGTCTCGTGCCCAGGACCTCTCTCAGAATGAATTCCACCTCTTAACGTGGATCTAAATTGCTCTTCCCATTCCCCCCAACTCCAGGCAAGAAGCCCTCTCCCTCCCTCCCCAGCCTCCCCAGTGCCTGTACTGGATTGCGATAAGTGAGGGCTGGGGAGCATCTCCACCTGGGGCGTTCTGAGGTGTGTAAGCCCCCTGCCTGCAGACAGGACAGCCCCTTTCCAGAGTCGCTGAACTCTATCAAAGCTTCTCCTGCCAGGATGGGGGGTGCATCCTCCTTCCCACAGCCTCAGCAACAATCCCGACCTCTGGGCTCGAATTTTGCTCTTTCTGTATTTCCGGGGGGGGGGGAGGTTGATCCTTATTGTCCCCACTTCACAGATGAGAAAACTGAGGTTCAGAGGGGTTAAATGATTTTTCCAATGTCTGACAGCGAGCGAGAGGGCTTGGACTTGAACCCATGTATCCTCATCCATTCATTGCACAAACGTTTATCAAGCATTAGTTCTGTGCCCACTGTTCTAGGCAGTGGGGTTACAGGAGTGGACAGTAAGGCATGAATATAATATACAGGTCAGTTCTGTAGTGTATTAGATAAGTGTTTTGGGAAAAGTTGAGATCAGTGTGCAGAGGTTGGGATAGTGGCAGTGCTTAGGACCATGCCAAGGACTTTAGATTTTATTCCAGGTGAGATGGGAAGCTCTTGGGGCTTTGAGCAGACTGGAAGCTTACTCAGATATTCTGTCCTCAACTGACTTTGAGGTGTGGGGTCCAGGATGGGATCAGGGGGCCCTCTCAGGATAAGAGATGACCAGGGTGGCAGAGATGGGTCTGGTTTCTGGACCTACTTTGAAGGTGAGCTGATAGCACTTGTCATCTGACTGGACAGCTCCTCCCACTTCCTTGGCAGCAGCTAGGACCCTCATGACTCCCTAGGGCTCAGACCTCCAGGTTTTCAGACCAAGCCTCTCAGGTGGTCCAAATCTAGCCTTAGTCTCTCCTGCTAGAGGACAAGCGGGGAGTCTCAACTGGAGGAACTGGGGAGCCAGGCCATTGTGGGTGAGGGCAGCTGGACCCTCCAGAACATTAGTTCCTCTCTATACCTTGGCTCTGGTGTTGGGACCCCCAGGGAGGCGCCAGACGTGTGTGGGTTGTTCCCAGCTGCCTCCTGCGAGAGGACCTGGGGGTGGGGAGAGACTTGCTGCTCAGGCCCCTTGAGTGACAAGCTCCCTCCCCTCTCCCCCCAGGTCTGGAGGGCCGGCTCGGCTTGGGGCTGGGAGAGGGACCTGCCCTTGGGTCCTCCTCACCCTCCTCCTCTTTCCTCTACCCGCTGCCAGCAGCCTGAGAATCTTCCCAGCCAGGTCTGGATCCTCCTCTCCATCCTTGTAGGGTCTCAGTTTTCCCTCACTGGGGACTGCTCAGCCACTCTGCTTCCTCCCGCTTTCCCCCTCCCCTGCCAGCTTCACCTCCTGTGGGCTGACTCCTTGGTTCAGCCTCTGGGGAGCCTACTGCCCCCACCCCACTGTTTTTCTTCTCTGTGCGAGTGACTCTGATGCCCTGCCCTCAGGACCCCCAGTCTGCATTTCTGTCTCCCCAATAGATGGGGCTTCTGAAGACAAGGCTATGTCTTATCCTCACCCTGGGTACCCCACATCCCTTTGACTTTCCATACCTCAGATGAGGAGGGTGGATGGCGGGGACAGGGCAGAGTTTTGGCTCTGGGAGCTCTGCTGATTACTTCCCATCAGCCACCTCTCCTCTCCTGGGGGCCTAAGAAGTACTGGGAGCCGCCCTGAGCCAAAGGGGAAGGCTTGGGCCTCCCCATACTGTACCCCAAGGCCATTGGCCAATGAGGTATAGCCCAGAAAAGAGGGGCAGAGGGCAGTTGTCAGAAGGCCTGGGTCCCTCACTTTGAACGACCTGGAGCAAGTCTCTTCCCCTTTGTGAGGAGAAAGGTTAGACAGGTGACCTGGGTGCTCTGACATCCCCTATCAAAAACCCTAACCAGAGCACAGACAAGACAGGCCTCACTTACTGCCTCACTGGCCCCTGGGGGAGTGTGGGGACGTGAGTTTTACATAGATGAGATCCCAGTGGCCCCGGAGCCCTGCAGATTTGAAGGATTCTGTGAAGGCCTGTTGCCGGGGTGGAGGTGAGGTGTGCCCTTGCCGATGATACTCAGCGCGCCGCACCCCAACCCAGACTGAGCCATGTCTAGGAGGGAGGGAAATGCAGAAGCGAGTTATTGAGAGAATCAAGCGAGGGATGAGTGGAGAGGGGACTGCATAGCTCTTGAACACCTACTGTGTGCAGAGTGCTTTGCCTATGTCACCTCCTTTGATCCAAACTAATCCTGAGGAGGCAGTAATGTGAATGCCATTTTACAGATGTAAAGACTGAGGCCCAGAGAAGTGAAGTCACCTGTCTGAGGTAATACAGCAAGAAAGTGACAGAGCCAGAATTTGAACCCAGTTCCATGTGACTCAGGAGCCCAGGCCCCTCTCTGGAACCTCTCAGTGAGGTAGGTGGACGTAGCCCCTCCCCATCCCCCTCAGAGGCACAGCCCCCAGCCTCCCTCTTAGGTCCCAAATGGTTTGGAAAATCCTGATGGGAGCAGATGGTGGGGACAGATGGAGGGAAAAGCATCTCAGGGCTGAATTACACAAACAAACATTGATAAAGTGATTAAAACCTCAAGCCACCCCTTTCCAAAGGGCCCTGCCCACCCCAGCCTGGAGCACAATGGACCCAGAGGTGGAGACCTGGGGGTCTCTGAATGCCCAGCGTCTTAGCCCCACTGATCCCAGCTTCTGCTCACCTCCCTCACTGCCGGGGACCACCCCCGGACCAGAGCCCAGGGCGGCAGAGCTGCCAGGAGCACAGCCGGGAGGGGGAGGGGGTGGGCCTGGCTGTTCCCGAGGGAGCTGGGCTGAGAGGAACAGAAAGAGGGGAGGGTGGGGAGGGTGGGTAAGTCCTGGGAGCTGGGAACGCAGACCTGAAGTCAGTGGCGGGCATGGGCGTGTTGCGGTGGGGCTGGCATCCCTCAAAGCAAGCCTCACTTTACAGATGGGGCTCAGCTCACACTGAGCAGGGCCGAGCCCTGTCCCACCATCCACCCCCATGGTGGAGGGGGGCAAGGCCCTTCACTTGCAGAAGGTCTGGTCGGTTTCTCCGTCTGTAAAATGGAAACTATAATATTAGCACCTCCCTGGAAGGGGCTTGTGAGGATTAAGTGAGATGGAGCCTGTAAAGTTCAGGGCACTGGGCACTCCAGGCTGCTAATAGGGCCTCCCTGCTGTAGGAGGATCAGGAAGGCCGGGGCTGGTTGGACAGTGTCCCTCTCCAGAGCAGCAGTCAGGGCTTGGAGATCCCGCCGCAAGAGCCCCTGAGGCTGCCGGGCTCTGCAGCAGGGGGATCCTCCTGGGTAAAAGCAGCTGAAGAGCACCAACTCCCTCCCGAGTAAAAGCAGCTGAAGACTCTGCCCAGCCCAGAATCCAGTACCCCCAGGGAGAGAGAAAGGGGCCGTGTCTTTGCCGGTCCCTCACTATGAAGGAACGGACTTCGGAGGGCAATAGACCCAGGCTCAGATCTTGATGTGGCCCCTTCCCAGACTTGGGAAAGTTGGCAACAACAACCCCTCTGACCCTCTGGCTCCTTCTCTGCAAAACTTGCATTTCCAGCTGCTTTCTGGACTTGCTCCCACAAACCCACAGACACCTCAGACTCAAGCCAGTTAGTATCCAAGTCATCACCTTCCACCACAGCCTGCCCTGTGCCTGGGTCCCCCTCCATCACCAAACAGGCCCGAGATCCACCATCCAGGACCCCTCCCTTCTCCTCATCCCCACACCTGCTTCCTTTCCAAGTCAGCATGTCTACTAGGTACATCTCTCCGGCCTGACCTCCGCTCTCCTTGCCGCCTCCCCTTCCCCACGTCCTCATCGGATTGGCCCTGTATGATGGCTCCGGCTCTTTTACAGCGCCTGCCTTCAGTTTCTCTAAATCGAATCCCCTTCCTCCCTGCTTAATAACCTTCCATGGCTCTCCACTGCCTACCAAAGTAAGTGGACACTCCAGGCTCTCCATGACAGACCCCAGCCCTAGCTTCCCATCTCAGCTCTTCCCGTCCACCTTCCTTCAACAACTCCCCACCAGCCAGCAATCCTCTACCAGACTGTTGGGATCTCCTACACCAAGAGAAGAGATCCAGAGTAAAGGCTGGGGAAAGGGGGCTCCCCGCTCCCCGACCCCCATAACTGTGCATATGGGTTTTAACCTAGTTGGGGATGGGGTGAAGTGAAGCAGGCAGCTGGGATCACGTACCAGCCAACCCTTGTCTGCACAATAATCCCTCTGCTGGTTAAAGCAACTCCTAGCTGGAAGGGCCTCCGGCTCAGCCA